TCCTTCTCGGTGAGCACGACGGCGCGCGTGGGGCCGGGCGGGGGAGGCTTGTCGGCCACTCGGGGGTCGGGGGCGGCGTGTGCGGCCCTGGCCTCAGGCCTGGGTCTGCCCTTCAGGTGAACCCGGCGGAGAAGCGGGCTCAGGCCAAGGGGAAGTTCAGCCGGTCCTGTGGGCCGGAGAGAGCCAACGCCGGGAAAGCGGCAGAGAAGGGTGGCCTTGAGAGTGGCGGCGGGGCGACTCTCGGGAGACTCCTGAAGGTCACCGGAGAAGCAGGTAGGGCGGAGGCCGACGACACCCAGGCCGCTTGCGTTCCGAGCTGCGGCCTCTGCTCCTGAGTTTATCGCGGAGCATCAGTGTCCCCAGTGCTTGCGAAGTGTAATAAGTAATACATGGATGCGGTGCGACACTTATCACAGCGCCGGTGCCTTCGTTCCTGTCGGTCGATTTTCTCCGTCTCTTACCTAAAGGCTCTCCTCCTGAGGGGGCTCCTGATCTCTCCTCCAGGCTCCTTCCTAACGCTAAATGATGTAGTTGTCAGTTGCAGAGAAGGGACCACCTCATGTGTCAGCACGTTATCACTGTAAAACAGCGGTTATCAAGAGATGAAATTCAGGGAGTACCTGAATTTCAGCAAGGGCTAATTTGCTCCTACTAGCCGGTTACATGTGGAGCTTTTTGTTTCTAACATCCCTTTGAGAGATGACCTTTGGCATCTAAAGGTCAGAGGTGGTGCTAAACATCTAACTGTACAACAGCAGCCTGTTCAGCATAGAATTGCCAACGCCAAAATGCCAGTGGTATCTGTTGAGACCTAGACAGTGATGCAAAAGTCCAGACCTTGGGAATGATTGTTAACATGCTACTTACAAAAATGTATTGTAGAATTGTATAGATATAGGCTATAGTTGTATTCCTTGTGCCTACACCAACCAGTTGCTAACAGTCTTTTGAGGGTGGGACTGTCTTTCTTACTTTCCATGAGGATAAATTGACATGTGTAGTATTAAAACAAAATAGAAATTATATGACAATTGAGAGGATAAGTCTTTCTCGAAAGGAACCAAGAAAAGGGCATAATTTTTAAAATGTCACTACCCAGAAACACCTAAATCTTGCTTGGTAATGGAACTGTGGATTATTCACATGTGAACTGCTATACTTGGATATTGTGGAATTATATCTTGGGAAATTGCAGCAAAAAATCACTAGTGGCTACATACACCTTATCCAGCAAACTAAATTGATAATGACAAAGAGCTCCTTTTGATTCATAATTAAAAAGCAGGGCTGAAGGAAAATTAGTAATACTAAAAGCAAATGAAGACCAGCAGCCAGATTAGCCCAGTACTAGGTGGTTCAGAGTAGGAGCATTGTAGGCCTTTACAGGGTCCTTTGACAAAGGACAGCAACATGTTTATTGAGTGTTGGCAGCATGAAAATTTATTTGCTTGCATGTCCATTAGTAACTCTGTGAACCCTAGACACAAGTGGACTGTCAGAATAACTTTGTGCTCTTATGTATAACTCGTAAATATATATGCATATGTGAATAAAGTCAATGCATTTTAGATCCATCATCAAAGTTATTACATATTTTACTGAGAATCTGCTGTTGATTTAATAATTCCTTGTTGATCTTAGGATGGTGTAGGTATTTGGTCAAAGAAGCTAAGAGCCTTCCTTGGTTGAATATGATTCGTGTAGCACATAAAAAGAGAAAAATGCAGTAGATATGTTAGGGCTTTGAGAAAAGGTCCTTAAAATGATCGAGGAGATGGAGCTTATTTTAGCTGGAAAATAAAGAGACTGACAGATTGAAGAAGCAATAGTGCTGAAATCTATTTTTAAAAGTGTTGACATAACAATCCAATTGTTCAAAAACTTTGAAAACATTACAACTAGAAGGAAATACTTGAAACTTTAATGAAATAATTAAAAAACAAAGAAAATACTTAGTTTTTTAAAAGATTGAGAACTCAGTATTCTCTATAAATCACGAATAGATAGAAGTTAAAGAATGACTTAGACCAGGCATAGTATAAGCCTGTAGTCCCAGAGGAATTGTGAACTTGAAGTCATCCTGGGCTATGTAGCAAATTTTTTTCAAAAAAAGGAAAGGAAGAAAAGAAGAGAAATACAGGAAAAAAATAGCTTGGGTAGACTGATTGGCTAATAAACTTATTAATGAGTTACTTGTCTGAACTTCCCATGAAGGCGGTGATTTACATGAGATCACTGTGTTATGTGGCATTGCTGATGGAATGCTTTTACATGTAAAGGACTGTTCTTGTGATAGCACACGTAACCTGTCTTTGTTGTTTTTAGAGATTTTATTCCCTCAAAGTTGCGCCAAAAGTTAAAACTTCAGCTGCCCCTGGAGGAGTATCTCTGCAGCCTGAGGATCTTGAGGTTAGTCCCACTGATCTGCTCACTGGAGAGCACATCTACTTTACTTTTTCAGTAAAAGACAGGCATTGGTCACATCTCTATTCTGTCTTAACTACAGTTTACCAAATTACCAAATGGTTTGGTGATTGCTTCTCTGGAAAACTATGCTCCTCTATCAAGAATTGGCTTATTCGTTAAAGCAGGCAGTAGATATGAGGACTCCAGCAACTTAGGAACCTCTCACTTACTACGTCTTGCATCTAGTTTGGTAAGTATCTTTATTATTTTAGTGTTTGAAATGGTGTGTGGTCTTAGGCCTGTAGGGAAGAAGAAAAACAAGGGGCTGAGGAGATGGTTTAGGAAAGCCCTTGCTATGTAAGCATTAGAACCTGAGTTCAAACATCAGCACCAGCTGGGCGGTAGTGCTGCACGCCTTTAGTCTTAGCACTCAGTAGGCATAGGTAGGTAGATCTCTGAGTTCCAGGACAGCCAGGGCTACACAGAGAAACCCTGTCTCAAAAAAACAAAAAAGGAAAAAATCCCAAACCCCAGCACCCATGTAAAGAAACCAGTCCTAGCCATGCACGCCTGTACCCCTGGCAGAGATAGGCAGATCCTGTGAGGTTGCTGTCTACCAGCCAAGTCAAAAAAGCTATCTTCAGGTTCAGTGAGAGGAGACCTGTCTCAAGGGTCTAAGGCAGAAAGCTACAGAGGACATGGCTACTATTTCCGCTGGCCCATGAGTGTATGTGTGGGCACACATAAAAGCAACCCAGGCATCGAGGTACACTCCTATAATCCAAGCTCTTGGGAGATGGAGACAAGAAGTTCAAGAGTTTGAGGCTAGCCTGAGCAACACCAAAACTTGTTTTGATAAAACAGCAGAAGTCTGAAAGAAATGCCCCTATATTTGTTTCCTTGAGCTGTTATGTCATATTTACACAAACTGGGTACAAGAAATTTATCCTCTTACAACTTTTAAAGGCTTGACGTTAAAGTCAAGGTGTTATAGTAAGTCAAAGCATAAACAGTACCGTACTTCCATAGGAAAGAATCCTTCCTTGCCTCTTTCTAGCGTCAGATAATCCTCATCTTAAAGGTGCATCACTCCAATACCTACTTTTCTTCTCACTTAGCTGACTTCTGTCTGTCCTTGTGTCCAGATGCCCTCTTATGAGGACACCTATCATAATGGGTTTAGAGCTCCTGCTAATCCAGTATGATTTGACCTTGATTCATTTACAAAGACCCTGTTTCCTAATGAAGTCATATATCCAGATTCTGAGTGGACATAAACAGGGCTGCTGTTCAACCCTGTAAAATCCCATCATATAAAATGAAAAACTACAGGATATTGGCCACAGACAACAGTTGTTATTATCCAATTGGATGCTGGTATTGAAGCGTAAGAAATCAGTAGGGAATGCAACAATTTTTTAATAGAAATTTTTCAATTTTTCAAAAATGGAAAAAAAATAGTACTTTCCATATTCAAGTCTCCCTCTCCCCCCTCCTGTGAGATTATAAATATTTCTGTCTTCCCTTTCATCCCACCAAACTCTGCCATGCACCCTCCCTGATCTCCTTCAAATTCATGGCCTCTTTTCTCATTAATTGTTACTGTTAGATTTATGTATATGTTTCTACACATATATTCTTAAATATAATCTTCATGTTACTTATATGCATGTTTTCAAGGCTGACCATTTGTCACCAGACAGCAATTGGTATGCTTTTTGTGTGGGAAGAAGACCTACTCCATTCCCAGCTTTCTTCAGTTGCCTGTAGTTCATTGTAGGATTGAGACCTCGTGGACTTTTTCCCCCTCTTTGACATGGCCATTGGTGTCATCCTTGTTGGATACATCTACAAAACATTCCTGCACCTAAGGCTAAGGAAACAGAAGTTTGGAAAGACGGTAGAGTCAGAGGATCAGGAAGTTTGAGTGAGATTGTGTCTCCTGATAATGTCAGAAACTACACCCAGAAAGTGTCACTAATATACAAGTCTAGTAAGCTTTTATTTGCTGATGGAATTTTTACACAATTATGTTTTGTATTAAAATCTAAGCCAGGTGTGGTGGCTTGTGGCTTGTAATTGCAGTACTTTGGAAAGCTGAGGCAGGAAAGTCCATTCTAGAGTTTGAGGTAAACCTCCTGCCCTACTTAAAAGTTACAGGCCCCCCTGTAAGGAGACTTGGTCTCAGAAAAACAAAACAAAAATACACATATATATATATATATATATATATATATATATATATATATATATATATATGTACATGCATGCAGTGCATTTTGTTGAATCTCATAATTCTTATTAAAAAGTACACGTTAATTCGGACCTACTTAGTAAAATTCTGTTTGGATCTGTTAATAATTATTAAGAGCATAGATTTTGATACAGTGTGATGTGTGGCAGACCTGGCATTGAACAACTATTAAGGAAAGCATCCTTTCTTTTTCAAGACTACCAAAGGAGCTTCATCTTTCAAGATAACCCGTGGAATTGAAGCAGTTGGTGGTAAATTAAGGTTTGTTAAATAGTAACAAGAAATAGCCAGGGCTGGAGAAATGGCTGAAGAGTTAAAAAGATACATTGTTCCTGCAGAGAACCCCAGTTTGGTTCCCAGCACACACATCAGGCAGCTCACAACTACTTTAACTCTGTTTCAACACCTTCTGACCCTACAGTCAGCTACATTTATGTGCACATAATCCCCTCTCAGACACATACTTACACGCATAATTAAAAATAAAGTCTTTGGGGTAGAGGGTGCTGGGCATGGTGGTATATGTGTTTAATAACAGCACTTGGGAGGCAGAGGCAGGTGGATCTCAGTAAGCTCCAGGATTACAGTAAGCTAGGACTACACGGTAAGATCCTGTCTCAAAGGGGTTGGGAGGACACAGAAATATTCACTTATAGAGTGACTCCTCTTTGTTAGCAAAGGGAGTGAAGATTGCTTAAACAGAAGGGAAAGTTGATGAATTGTCATAAAAAATGTGAAACATGGCTATGCATACAGTAGATATATGTGTCTGATTGGGAGTTGATACTTATAGTACACACAATATGCAGAAGATTTCTGATTGGGAAAAGTAAAAATCATAAATCAGGGAGAAAAGAAAAGCTAAAAGGAGAGGGGACAAAAGGTAGAAAAAGGCCGTTCACCAAAAAGGAAACCAGGAGTTTCAGCAGTGTGGTGCTGGGATGCCACACCTGTGTTGTTTTTTAAAGACTAGAAGCTAAAAGTCCAGTTCAAGGAAATGGGTAAAGAATGCTAGCCATGATAGAACTAATAGAACATGGTAGAACATAAAGAACTAATAGTTTGAGGCTAGAAATATCTCTGTGGTTAAGAATGCCTATTGTTGGGAGCCCCGCGCCGGCGCCGTGACGTCACGCCCTGGAGCTGCGGGCCGGGCCGGGCGGCGGCATGGCGGAGAGCGAAGCGGAGACCCCGGGCACCCCGGGCGAGTTCGAGAGCAAGTACTTCGAGTTCCATGGCGTGCGGCTGCCGCCCTTCTGCCGCGGGAAGATGGAGGACATCGCCGACTTCCCGGTGCGGCCCAGCGACGTGTGGATCGTCACCTACCCTAAGTCTGGTACAAGCCTGCTGCAGGAGGTGGTCTACCTGGTGAGCCAGGGCGCCGACCCTGATGAGATTGGCCTGATGAACATTGATGAGCAGTTGCCAGTTCTGGAGTACCCACAGCCGGGTCTGGACATCATCAAGGAACTGACGTCTCCCAGGCTCATCAAGAGCCACCTCCCCTACCGCTTCCTGCCCTCTGACCTCCACAATGGGGACTCCAAGGTCATCTACATGGCTCGCAACCCCAAGGACCTGGTTGTGTCTTATTATCAGTTCCACCGCTCACTGCGGACCATGAGCTACCGAGGCACCTTCCAGGAGTTCTGTCGGCGGTTCATGAACGACAAATTGGGCTACGGCTCCTGGTTTGAGCACGTTCAGGAGTTCTGGGAACATCGCATGGATGCAAATGTGCTTTTCCTCAAGTATGAAGACATGCACCGGGACCTGGTGACCATGGTGGAGCAGCTGGCCAGATTCCTGGGTGTGTCCTGTGACAAGGCCCAGCTGGAGTCGTTGATCGAGCATTGCCACCAGCTGGTGGACCAGTGTTGCAACGCGGAGGCCCTGCCTGTGGGCCGGGCACATTGCCTCTTTACTCAGAAGATCGCCTTGAGGTGGCGAGGATGCAGGGGCTCGGGGAGCCGACTGCATTGCATAAATTTGGTTCATGTCACAGCATAAATTGTCTTGATTCCAAATCCTAAACCAGGAAGAGTCGGGCTATGGAAAGACATCTTCACCGTCTCCATGAATGAGAAGTTTGACCTAGTGTATAAACAGAAGATGGGGAAGTGTGACCTCACGTTTGACTTTTATTTATAATATCAGAAACCGCGAACTTGCATGCTCACGGTCCCCAGACGCTCTACTAGCTAAAAAAAAAAAAAAAGTCCTGTTTGCGTTCATTTATTCCTTGCTGGACACACTCTGGAAGCTGCGTGGAAACAGCAGGGGACGAGCCCAGTGGAGAGAGCGAGGAGTGTGATGATGCTGTCCACAGCAGCCGCCTGGCCTGTAGCACTTGGGTTTCCACGTCGTGGCCACGCCACACACGCAGGCAGCGAGACTGTCTGCCCTGTACCCCATGTTATTCACTGTATTTTATAGCGCTTTTCACCGGAAATCTAAATAAATCTCTGTCAACCAAATGCAAGTCCATTTCCGTGGGAGAGCAGGAACAAACTGTGCCAGGATGGTAGGAAGCTCTCAGGGTTCACTGTAATTTTTGTAGTCTTTTTTTCTAGGCACAGCCATCCCACCTTGTTCTGAGATCAGAGGATGGGTTGGGATCACATGGGTTGGGTGGGTGGGGAGCTGGATAGGTAGGTCTAGCCTGTGGTCTAGCCAGTCTTCCAGAACCATCATGACACCAAGCCAGGGCCTGTCCCAGGCCGTTTTTTAGAAACACCTCCAGGACGCAGCTCTCTGAGCCTAGAACAGAAGAGCCCAAGCAAAGTTCCTGGAGGGAGGCTGGCCCGGGGCTGCAGATGGCATCTGAAGGCATTGATGGTGCGTCAAGAGTGCCCACAGACACCAGAATTGGTGTCTACCATAGCCTTCTCTTTGTTCCCCAAGGCAGTGACTGACACACTCCCGCGGGCAAGAGATGTGACATCGCACGGTTTTAAAATCCTGAGTTGCTGTCATGAATGTCCCCGCTGTGCCGACCCTCTCACCTAAGGGACCTAGCCTGCAGGTTGATTGCTCTCCATGCAGATAGGATTGGCAAAGCCCGCCCACCCGAGTGGGCACCTCTATCCTCAGAGTGTCTGAGGGAGCAATGCCACACACACACACACACACACACACACACACACACACACACACACACCTACCCCTGCTGTCTTCTGGCTCAAATTTGGCCCAAGTGATGGCCAGATGAGAAGTGGACCAGCAGATTGCCACTGGGGACTAACTGGCTCTGGTCTTTACCAGGCTAGGAAGAGCCCAGCGTGCTGGTGGGAGGCTCTGGCTGTAGAAGGGGCCCGCCGTGGGTGGTTCTCTGAAGCAGGTCTGGTTGCCGCTGGCGTTACCTCTGTCCAGGGAGAAGCTTGTGTGGGCCGGGTGCATGACTCTGTGAGCTGGGCATGGCAGCGTTTTTTTCCTGTGTGTCTGGGAAGGAAGGCTGCTTTCTGTGAAATTTTGTTTCTATTTTTCTATTTTTAGTACTGTATGGATGTTCTGGAGCCACACATGGTACTCTGTGCTTGCTTGCATCTTTAATAAAAGACACCTCCCTGCTTGTGTGGTGTGTATCCTGGGTGGGGAAGGGCCCCTGTGCATTCTCCTCGGAGGAGTGTGAGGCCCATCCTTGCCCCATCCCCCGGGAATGGCTACAGAGGGAAATAGCCTGGGGTGGCTTCTGATGATAAAACAAATTCTGCCTGTGCAAACTTTAGTGAAGGCTGAAGCCCATCTACTACTTCAAAGACCTTTGGCCTGGAAGTGAAAGGAAGAGTAAAGGGAGAAGAAGAAACTGGGGGAGGGATTTTGGTGTTCTGTGGATCTCTTCTACTTCCGAAGTCTACCTGCCTCTGGCTCCAGCTCAGGGCATCATGGTGGGATGGAGACTGACCTGGTCCAGCTCTTCCTGGCTGTTTTCCCCAGTCCTGTGTGGGGCAAGTCTGGGCACCATTTCCTCTGTAGAGAGGGAGAGCCCAGGGTGAATGCGGACTCCGGTTAGTAATCTTGTGTCCCCTTAGTCATTTCCAAACTGGACACACATCAGAGAGCCCAGAGGACACAGGGTGATGGACTCCTTTGCCTGCTCTACCTATAACTCCTCAGCTTAGGCAGGGACCTCAGCGTTGCTGTGTACCAAGTGCTGTGCTAGGCAGCAAGAAGACCCTGCCTCCTGGAGCTTTAGTTAGAGTCAGAAAGAGTCAGGGAGGCTCAGGGCTAGTTCAGGATCAGGATTGCTGTCATGGACCATTGAGATCGAGGTTGCTCAGTAGGTAAAGCCTATGCTGTTCAAACATTAAGATCTGAGTTCAAATCCCTAGCAGTACATGAATGAGGCCACCTGTAATCCTCAGCACTCGGGAGGCAGAGACAGGATTCACAGAAAAAGCTAGACTTGCCTGTATTGGTGAGCTTTAGGCTCAGTGAGAGATTGCCTTAATATAGATGGTGGTGAGCAAGCAAAGAGAACACGTACTGTAAACCTCTGGCCTCCATGTATCCACATGCACCCACATGTACACAAGTGTAAACATGTATGCACAGCACACACACATCCCCCATTTCCCAAAAGATAAGTGTTGCTGCCAGTGAGCTCATATGGAGGACTTGGGCTTGGGAGGTTGTGGGAGAGCAGACTGGCAGGCTCTAGGATATCTTATACAGGGGCTGTCTGGAGGTTAGCCAGGCATCCACTCACAGAGTGCTCTCTAGATCATGGGAACTTGGGTGTAATCAGGAGCATGCTACCTTGTTTGTGTTTTCTCCAGCTCTCTGGCTCTCGAGAGTTTCCTGTGAGGGTGAAGGCACCTCATCCCAGCTCTACTACTCAGGCTACCTGTGTCTTAGAGGTTCCGAGTATTCCTGGGAGTCCCAGTTATTCCCGCACGGCTCCTGCCTCTTGCTGGAGTGAGGGACAGGTATCTTGAGTGAATTTAGAGAAGAGCCAGGCTGGAGTAGAGCATTGAGGTCTTGACCCGGGCTGCTGTATGGAGTTGGACAAGCAGAGATGGGCAGTGTCACGGGCTGGTAGCGGTACAACTCCTTATGTTCCCCAGTGGCAGGGCCCAGAGTTCAGGTCAGAAGAAAACCCCAGAAAGAAGTCTCTGGGGGAGCAGCAGAGGGTGTCTGCTCTCTCTTAGAACTAGGAGTTCAGACTGCTGCAGCCCTCCTGCTGAAGATTCCCAAGTTCTCCTACCCCTCCTCAGTAATTTGGTCGGTGTGCTGGAACCTCTGTGAACTTACAAGGCTTTAAAGTCAGGGAGCTGCATGGGCATCACACTCAACTTGCTCACTTTGTGGAATAGTCCCTATCACCAATGGGAGGGAGGCCACTTTGGAAGTTGAGTAAAATGCACAAAACCTTCCCAAGCCAGGCATAGTGTTACTCACCTGTGAGCCCATCAGTGGGGAGGCAGAAGGAGGAAGCTCATGAGTTCAAAGCCAGTCTGAGACTCTTAAAAAAAATTAGCCAAACCAAACGAATTAACACTGAATCAAAACTGGAACAGTGGTCCCTGCATAAAATCTAAGCAAGCAGGAGGCTGAGGCAGGAGGATAAGAGTTCAAGGCCGACTTGGATGGCGGTGAAACACTCATCTCCAAAGTCCAAACCAAAAATCAGAACTAAAAAGTAAAAGAAACCCCTCAGCTAGCATGCCCATTCCCGTGCCGCAGGTCAACCAGCGCCATCTGGTGTCAACTCAGAGCCGGGGTTTAGCTTGTGGTTTTGTTCACAGCCCAGGAGGTGGGGGTTGGGGTGGACTAGACACTATGACCCTATGTGAGCACAGACACCCCCGAGAGCGGGGGGGGCCCCATCCTGGGGATCTCCTGTGGTGGTTTTTATCCATCCTCCTGTTGGCTGATAACTGGGGAGGTGTGGGGCTCCCTTGCAGCTAGCCCTTCCCTGTGCAGCCAGCCCTGCCCTGCTTAGAGCTTGGCATCCCTTTCCCACAACGTCATCCATCCTTGTACACTGCATGTTGCATGTTTTAGAACAGGGTGGCACCTCAGTCTGGGTAAAGCCAGGGAATAGCCTCTGACCCTAGCAGTTGAGTGCTCCCCCCATGACCTCAAAGCCTCATCTCAGAGTGGTCCTTGTTATCCCCTGGCAGACGATGTCCCAATTAGGCCTCCCTGACCCTTGGAATGCTCACCTCCCTCCTCCCTCTCTGAGCTGGCCAGCCCTGCACCTCCCTGCAGAGGGCATCCCTTCCTGCACTGGACTGGCTCCTCTATACTCCCGACCCTGCTTGCCTTCTATCACTGTCACCTTCTGGTGTCCCCTTGCCTCTGTAGGCAGGGCTGCCCTGGGAGCAGGGGTGTGCTGCCTAACCAGCAGCTGATGAATGAATATTGTCATGTCTCAGAGCTCAGAATCTTCTGTATACTGCTGCTGCTGAGCTGGTAGAAGCTGAACTTCCCAACTCAGGCACAGGCTGGGCGCCTGGCTCCTCCTGCTCCTGACTGTTGGCTCCTGTTTCACAGTGACTAAAGCCCTGCCATTCCTCTAGGTGGAGCCCGTGAATCACTCCAGGAGACCGTGCCTGGCGCCTCTCCTCCGAAGTCCTCACCCAGAACTCAGTGCCACGGAGCCACTGGTTCCTTCCTAGGACATTCCACTTGCCTCTCCATTGTCATTTGCTGAGCACCTGCTATGGTAAAGCTGAGTGCTGCAGACAGTCTTGGCCATGCCACTCTCCTTTAGATCTTTGCTCGTTTCTAACCCCCTTCCCCTTCCCTCTAGGGGCTCATTGCTCTGCCTACCAAAAGCCAGCCAGACACTAGCCAAGCAGATGAAAGGATCCACAGGGGAGAGCAGAGCCAGTACCTTGGAGGCTCAGAGCTAGCAGCCTCAGCAAAATGGGGGATACTGCTGCTTATAAGCAACAGTCAGGAGCAGGGGCTGGGCGCAGGA